GGAATGCAGAGGATCTTTTGGACAAGGTGAAGAAATTATTTGGTGAACCCAGTGAGAAAAATGAGGATCTCAAAAATGAAGTCTGGGAGAAGCTAGCAAACTACCACGCCAAAGTTGATGATGCTCGAGATCTGCTAAGAGAAGCTGCAAGTAAAATTAGGGAGGCTGATCATTTATCTGCAGTCAACAAAAAAAATATGACCATGGTAGAGGTAAGCGCAGACAAGTTGTATCCTTGATTACTTGGAGTCTGATCAAAGTTTGAAACTTTGTATAATTAAATCTTGAAACAAAAATATAAGCAAACCAAAAATATTCTTAAAATTTAATTGTATCTGATGTAATTAAAAGGAAACATGTTCCTCATCGTGAGGGAATGCGTTGGCTTTTAAAAATAGAATTACTCCACAGCTTTATCAAAATAATATCATCTGCTTTTAGACACTGAGTGGAGGGTGCATGGGATTTATTATTCTGGGGGAGACTAAATTCATCCCAGTATAAATAGTCATGTAAAATTCAAATCTCGTGCTCAAGAATTAAATAGGAGTTCAGTTAAAATCTTTGCTGTCATATATTTGCTCCTAGAAAACTTACACTTTCATCTCCCTCTCCAACCCCTGGGAAGAAGACTGAAGGGGGTATGTGGATATTACAGACTAATACATTATACTCTATCCTCTGTAGTTAGTAGCTGTTATAAATGATCTCCCTCATAGCAGAGAGGTCTGCTTGTGATTTAATTTAAATTGCAGAGACTTAAAGAGCATATTATACTGTACATTAACAAGCATTTAACCAAGACATAAAGAGCAGAGTCAACGTAATGAAGATAAATGTTTCAGCTGTGTTTGTATCTCGATGAGCTTTGGCCTCACGTACAATGATGAGGTTAGAGTTCCGAGACCTCAGTTCTCAGCAGAGATTTGTGGGCTTGATTGAATTAAGGAAATACAGTGCTGTAAAGAAGTTAGGTGATCTCTATTCTGTGCATTTTCTTCCCAAAGGTGGATGAATAAAGGTTGGAGAAATTACCTGCTATCTCAGTTTTTAAAATATTCACTGCTTCACAGTATCAGAGTGCCTGATGGCATCCTTTCCAGCAGTCCTGCCCACCTGGTTGTTTTGAGGAGTATTTTTGGTTTATTTTGATCCTGTTTTGACCAAGAAGCCATCACAGCACTCTTAATCCTAGAATGGTCTCCTGTCAAACTAATCTGTGATACTCAATACATCTTGCACAGGAAATTGCTAGTTTCTTATTCAGAAGTCCATCCTTGCTACACAATATGAAGTATTTTTACTGGTTGGAAAATGAAGAATCCTAAGGTAGCTTCAAACCATCATCTTTTATTTTACATTCAGTAGTTAGTGAAACACTAGTGAATGCAAATAGGAAAGCAGCAGAATATTTTGATAAATTTTGCCTTCGTAGCCAGAGAAAGTAATTGTCAAAATGAGGAATTTGCACATCTGGATAAAGATTAGGATTTCTAACTCCTTTCTGATTCATTTTGCAATAGTACTACAGTCAGTTACCTCTGTTATAGAGCAACAAAAAACCTACCGTGTGGGAGGGGGATACAAAGCTGGGGACAGGAGGACAAAGAAAAGATACCTTACATTATATGTTCTTTATTGTTGTCATTGTCTTCGCTCTGAAAGCTCAGAGAATTCCAGAAGTGGCATTGTGGCATGGTGACAAGATGCAGTCTTGTATTGGGATGCTGGTATTTGAACTGGCATCCCCATTCTAGTAAATAACTCATATTTTTCTTTGTGTGAACACATCCTATAGAAAAAGAAGCAAGCTGTAGAAGATGGCAGACAAGATGTTGAAAAGAGCCTGCAGGAAGGGAATGATGTCCTTAATGAAGCCAACAAACTTGCAAATGAAATCAGCTTAGCTGTAGAGGTGAGTGCTTTATCATCCTTATCTGAGAATCACTACAACGAAGCATCATTATGGAAGCAAAATAGATAATCAAAGTAACACCTGATTTTTCTTTTTTTTTACCAATGTTGGAATATTTTAATTGGAAGAAACCATTTTTCCATTGCTGTACGGCAGAAAAGCTAGTCTGGTATATAAAAATGATTAACTTCAAGATTTAAGTGATTCATTGGATTATATAAAGAGCTAGCTCTTAATTTTTCATGGACTCTGCCTTCTTTTATAAATATGGTATTCTGGTTGCGGTACTGACTTTATCTTTAGAATTGCAGATGCAGCAGACGCATTCATAATCTCACTGCAACTCTGTGATCTAGATGTAGATTTATCTGTACAAAAACTGTGTGCGCATATCAGAAGGAAACTTCAGAAATAATTTGTTGCCTGTGGCAACAATTTTAAGTGTAGATAGATCAGGGAGGAGGAGAGGATTGCACTCTCATTTTACATAAAGTTTTTGAAAATTCTGCCTTAAAATTTTATCAACAGAGTTTGAGATCAGTGCCTTACCTACAAAAAATAAAATAAAATAAATCTTGAAATCTTGATTAGTTCTGGAAATATTTCCACCTTGCCTTGAAAATTGTTATAATGATTGGAAAAATACCTTTTGGAGAAATGGGGAAGGAAACACTTTGAGATGGCTTATTGGAATAGGAAAGGCAGGTCTTCAAAAAGTATAGTTCTTACTAAGATACTTTAACAAGCAAAAATACATTGGAGTCACTGAAAGGGTCCTGAAACATGAAACTTCTGTCATTGGTTATTATTGTGGGGCATGATGACAATTTAGTATAACTATATATGCATCTACATTTAGGAAAGAAATCCAAATTAGAGTTTATAAGCTTTTAAACTGTGCAATTCCTTAATTATAAAATAAAAACTTCAACTAAGCTCAAGAGAGGCAAGTAGCTCTTGGAATATTGTTTTGTCTCCTCTCTGCTGTCCAGTCCAGCCATTCCTTTATTCTTTCCATATTAGTTCCCTTAATGCAGGCACAAGTTACAAGATAATACCTCACAAGGAAAATATATATATAAAGGGCTACAGAGTGCTTGCATTTAGCTGCTTAAAGGCCTTTCTTTTGTCATTTTCAGTATGTAGAAGGCATTGCAGATAAGATACAGCCAATGTCCGATCAGCTGAAGGATAAAACAGATGACCTATCACAAGAAATTCATAACAGGATGCTTCCAGAAAAGGTGTTACAAGCTGAGAACTATGCAGCCCAGCTGAATGAATCATCTGCAATCCTGGATGGGTAAGGCAGTCATTCATTGGTAATGATAAAATCATGGAGCAAGTTTGTAAAAGTGCTTGACAGAAATTGAAGGGCATTCTTCTTAGACTTCGACATCTGTCACTGGGAGTATACAAATAACTGGTGTTCTGTATGAATATACAACTATCCAGTTGGTTAGTTTGTACATCTCTTGTAAACACTTTCATGCATCTTGTGATGCTTATAGGCTGCATTAACTGCAGAGAGTGCCCTCAGATGCACTCATAGCACAGTTTAACTTACCAAATTCTTACTGCTATGTTGATATGAAAAAAATTGAACTTCGTCTTACAGAGCTCCCTATGTGTTTTTTTTAAACATTTGTTAAAAACAAGCAGTATTTTTATTTTTAAGATGACCGTTTTGGTCGGAGACCCTTATCATGGTGCTAACTTGTTTACTGTTAGAAATCTCCCATGGTGACAGAGAGTAATCCCTCTAGCAGTTTCAAAACACACTCCCAAAATGGGTAGATGTTGTGGGCCAAAATGCTTAAAGCTAAGTACAGAAACTTCAGTTTCTGTTTACCACTATCACATTCCTAAATGTAAGTAAGAATTGCAGTGCCCTTGGTTTATATGACCACAGCTCTATCAAAAGAATGATACTTTATAACTTATCATGAATATAGTTTTCTGGAAAGAATAGAAAGTAAGGGGTTTCTTTTGTTTTGTTTTGGGTTTGTTGGGGTTTTTGGTGGGGAAGAAGGGAGGTGTCTTTTGTTTTATTGTGTTTTTTGCGTTTAAGAAATAAGCCATAGATAGTAAGTGTAATTTGCAACAGTGATACTCAGAATTAGATCATGGATATTCTGCCTCTTGGACCTGTCCTCAGCAGAGCTTCAGAATTTTATTTTCTCAAAAGCACTGCATGAATAAAAAAGATATTTTTGTTCAACATCAACAATATACTTCTTTTTTGCTGCTTACATCTTTTAGATCTACCTGAAGACTTTAATATCCCAAAGACCTGTGAGCAGACACTTATTTTTTTTCTTGTCAGCATCTGTAATTTTGAGAAAAAGGCACAGAATTGTCTCTGATAAAGTGTTTGATACTCGTAAAATTACTGGCTTCATATACAGTGTAGTCGCACTACTCCAGATATTCAGTCTAATTTATGTTTTGAGGAGTACATAAAATAATGATAGCTGTGGTTTCCTGAGTAAAAAGGATTTGAAGGGCACTGTTTCTAGAAAAAAATGGCTTTTGTAAATGGTATATGCACTGTCTGATTAGAACACATCAGTTTTGTGGAGCACCTCTGGGCCTAAAGTATGTGACTAGTGTCACATCCAACCATATTACTGAATTTGGATATAAATATCCCAATACACCAAAAGTTGGCATGGAGGAACTAAGAAGCAGAGAAAATGTAGACAGAAAAGAATATTTTGCCTCCTTAATGAAATGTTGGCAAGACATATTTTGAGGTAGAGGTTTTTAACTATGCTAAATAGACCTTTTTACGGGTGCGTGCGTGTGTTTCTGTCTTAATGCAAGTTGACAACTTGGCCTTAAGGAGCTTAGGGTAGTGTTTAAAGTCGCATTCACTGTGGTGTAACGGTACCATGTATACATCTATCTGATCCAGACATCACCCTCCATTTCTCAAGATATATAATAAAAAATGCAGAATCAAGGACATTAAAAATTATATCTAAAAGCAAATTGTTCAAAATTAAAATTTCTGATGTGGTCAGATAGATACATAGTTTCAAAGGACAAAGAAATACCAAGGTGCTATGTAATCCTGCACCAGGATAAAGCTGTTTACTTCATGCACTGACATTAAACAGTCATGCTTTACAGGACTATGCAGCCTCTATCTGTCTTAGGAATTCAAAAATGTATCTGTCTTCACAACTGGCACTTGGGTGTCTTTCAGTTAATACTAAATTTGCTGAAAAATACAATTTTGTCTTACAGGAGAAATTAAGGGAGAGCCCTTTCTCCCCAATCACCCCCTAAGGTTTCTTCAAAAAGTTTATTGATCAATGGTGAGGATGTTCTCTTGAGAGTTAGAACATGGAACAATTCATGAATTTGACCTAGAAAAAACTGTTATTTTTCCTGTATACAAGGGGGTGTTAGTATAGGCTTCTCCCTTATGGCTAATGGCCTGCTCATGAGTAAACATCATTGGTATTTGGCAAATTCAGTTCTGTTCCCTCCTAACCAGAAGAGGGTCGAACCACATTTCTGAGTAGTACTTGAGCTACTAGCTAGATAGCTATTCTGGGCTGCACATTTCTCTAACAGAGCATCACAAAGACTTACTATAGCCTACTGAGTTCCATCTGTAGTTGAGAAAGGAGATAAGCTTTTCCAGGAGTGATGCGGAGGCAGCTCATTTGTGCTGTTTCTACAGTAACCTAAAGGGAATCTCTGTCCCTCTGTTAACTACATGTGGAGTCCAGGGAGTATGCCTCCCGTCCCCTTTGTCTTTCCCGTTGCATTTTATAGAAATCAAAATCATTAAATATTCATTGAAGCAAGGACTGGAGCCCAGCTGTCCCAGTTCCCCAGAGAACAGATACATTACCAGGTTAGAGAATGAATTTGTCTTTCTTCCACACACACTATCTCAATGACTAAGTATTTTATACAAGCTGGAACAGGTCCAGCAGGAGTAATCCCTGCCTCCCTTATATTGCCATACACCTTGATGGCTAGAGTATTTCCCAGAGAGGCAAAAATCCAAGTTCAAATCCATTCTTGTCCAGTTGAGACAGGGATTTTAGGGCATTTACCCTTTATTCAGGAAAAACATCATAGGCATCAGGCATAATGTATACTGAGATAGATGTCTTCAAGTTAATTCTGTAGGTGCAGTACTTCTTCATAGGAAATACTTGAATAAATTATGCAGAGATGCGCCAGAAAAGTGATTTCTCCAGCCTGCTGGCTAGAAATTCCCCTGGAAGGGGATTAGCTGAGCTCCAGTCCCTGCACTAGGAAATATTGTTTGTTTATAATTACCTTTTAATCTAATTATAGTTATTAGAATAGAGTATTTAATATAAATGGAACATCCCATTCAATATGAAGCATTACTCCTTATGTTTTTCATTTTGGTCAGCAAAATTAACATTTAGGATTTGGTTTAGACAGTGAGATCTCCTCCAAACCTGGCATTTCTGTGTTTGGCAGCCAGACCAAGAAATCAGCTGTTCAGAAAGTCTACTTTAAAACGTGCCTGTGATGATACCCCATGTTCATATAGTGCGAAATTCATTGAGTTTCCTGGCTCAACATATACTCTATAAACCCATATTATGAATATATGTTATCTGGATTATAATATTAAGCACCGCACTGTCTTTTCTCAGTGTCTGATCCATTTTTATCTCACAGAACCCCCTCTTTTAGTGAACATTGGGGTTTATGTCTTTCTGCACAGATAAAATATGAATTCCATTAAACACATGTTGCAGAACTCCTGAAATCTCAAGTGTAGCATTGCTCTCTAAAGAAATGCCTTAGAAATAGCCTTAGAAATACAGGCTGTTGGGTTTGAAAAAGTAGGATACTATGTTCTGTTGAGCTCTTATAGCAGGTTTAATGGTGTGTTTACTTTTCCCATCCCAACAGAATCCTTGCTGAAGCCAAAAACCTCTCTTTCAATGCCACACTTGCTTTCAATGCTTATACTAACATCAAGGATTACACAGATGAAGCTGAAAAAGTTGCCAAGGAAGCCAAGGCTCTTGCAAATGAAGCTATGCAAGCGGTAAGAAAAATAAGTAAATTGGGAAGAAGGCTTAGATTTTCTGTGGAACTGTGCCACACCTTATCTCAGATCCATGTTTTGCCATCTTATAACTTTATTTAGAGACTCTTGCCACCATAAATTCTTGTGTTGAATCAAAAAGCTATGCCCTTGTCAGAGCTACATGTACCTTCAGACTACATCCCCATTTGTTCTGTCTCCTGTTGCTTATTTTTCTTTCCCTTTTTTGTTTACTATTCTTCCTCTCTCTATCTTCCACCTTTTAGTCTCTGTCTATGGCTCAAGCCAACAGCTCTGAGTCAGGAGTGTGGGTCATTTGATACTCAAAAAAGCTAGTGTATATTTAATGAATGTTTTGCACACATCTAAAGAACTCTGTACCTTAATTAACTCTTCACCCTCTAGCTCCATGAAAATGCTCAGAGGCACTTCTCTGCACATAGGGTGAACTGCACGCATCTCGCGGAATTCTAGAAAGGGAGAATTGCAGGAGGGAAGCAGAAAGTTTTATTCATAGAAACCATACAGCTTCTTTTGTGAACTCTGCCGGTTTTCACAGAGAAATCTTATTCTCACTATGAGGTACTGAATGCAAATTTTCAGAGGAAACGGAGAGAACTTTTAAAAATAGGATTGTAAGAGAAAGCCAGCCTGAGTCATAATGAGGAACTCAGCTCCTTAATGCATATACTGTGAGCAGAAAACATCCTGAGCATAGCCAGAATTATTTTTTATGTCAAAAATCAAAGGAGTTAATGGCTAATTTGTGAAAGTTGGTCAGAGAGCAACTGACGTGCACTTCACAGGCACACGGAAACACGAGGAAATGACAGTATAATATGAAATTGCCAGACCCTACGTTTGATATAGGAACAGAAAGATGAACAGAAGCAACTTGTAGTTACGGCACTTGTCCATGAATAAAGGTAGCTTGCAGAGAGCTACTTCAGTCAAATGGATTATGAGAACAGCAAAAGCAATCACATGCTGTAAAGGTCTGTATTTAGGAGACGGATAAAATGATCCAACCACTGCACAAAGTTTTTAATATTTTTAGGCTGTTTACATTGTCAGCTTCTATTTCAAATAACACTAATTACTATATTTCTCTCTTGATGAAAAAATTTCACCTCATGCATTAGTATGCTCTAGTTCTCTGTAGATAGTTATTTGTTTCACTGGAACTCCTAATTATGCTGCAGAAGTAAATAAGGAGCTGTGGATTTTTTTTTTCCTTCTCATTAGGATTTAATACAGATAGCTATCTTTTACTCCTTTGATGACTTGCAGTGAGTGAGGCAGGCAGCTGTTTCACAGATTGAGTAGGGAAAAAAAAGACACATAGAGCAGCCAAGAAACAAAGCAAGCAATTACCATATGGCTACAAAAGAGTATATATCAGATGGTGAACTGGCTGATTATACCATGGAGAGGAAGTGGATAGATAATTTGAAAGGGATGGAGGTGAAGATGGACAATGTGATGTAAATAGAAGCAAGTGAATAGCAAGAAAGGAGACTAAGATATTAAGGTGAGGTTTTAAGCATCTCCATTGCATGTGTTTGTTAGAGGGAGCTTGGGTTTTGTTATGAGCTGTATATGTGTAACAGGGATCTAGTTGATAAAGAAGAAAATGGAGGGAGCTGCTGCCTTTTAGATGTAATTGATTTGATACAGAGTAGAGGTAATCAGTGGTTTACCATCAAATTTCTGCAGAGCAAGGTAGATTTTAATCACTATTTGGTAAATGATCATGTGAGGATTTTGGGCCAGATTTAAAAAATGTGTTAATTGTGAAGTTTAGTGATCATTTTGCTATTCTATTTTTTTGGGGTTTTTATACAAAGACTGTTGAATGTTTGCCCATCCTGAGTGAAGACCTTAACTGCTAACCGGGTAAATCAGGCTCCCTCTTTCTGCTGACCCCAAGAAACTTACTTTTAGCTAAGCTCCAGCATGAGAGCAAGAGTGCACCCTCATGCGGGGCTATCTAGAGCACCGTGGTTCCAGCACTCTCCTAGAAGGCAGCATTTGTGGATTTGAGCCCCTTAGACTGAGAAACTCCTAGAAACTGTGTCCCCTCCTTTCTGAGAAGGTGCTCTTTGCCACCCTGTGTAGAAGACCGAGATCATGTCTTTCCTCTCCTTTTGAAAGATGGAGCCATGTTCTCTTCTTTATAAGAGCAGTTGTGGGTGCCTGTCTTCTGTAAAAGACTGATCTTCAGATGCTGGCAGATAGCAGAGAAAAGTGCAGTAGCTCACAGGCATCCCTGAGCCTAGCCTTCCCATTGACCAGTTACAGTGTTGGGGCAGGGGGAGGTAGGTTACCCAAGAGCAGCAAGCTGGTGCGTGAACTAGAGACGGTAGGGACAGGATTGACTTTTAGATTCTGCCATGTATGTCATTGGAGCAAATAATTTACAAGAACCTTAGTGATACCTTGGGGATTTTTTGTTTTTTGGTTTGTAATGGGAAAATTATTCTGTTTTCAAATTAAGCTAATGTTGCTAAAAGCAAGAATCAAAAGATGCTTAAAATCCATCGTTATTACAGGAAGCCTGATAAATGACTGGAAAAAATGTGTTAAAAATTTGACAGAAAAATTCCACCTGAGATTTTTTATGATGGATCTACTCTCCCCTTTAAAAGCAAAATTAAATTTATCACAGATGAGAAATCTCTAGCATTCAAGCAGCTTCAACATCCCATTACTTAGCCATGGCAGTAAGTGACTGAAGAGAGGAGTCATCTTAACAGATCCAGCTCATGTCTCACAGATCAGAATCATAGTTTTACAGTAAATCTTGAAAAAGTGTAATTATTCTTAGGCTTTTTAGAGAGGCCTTATAGGCTAGTAAATGGCACCACAGGGGACATGTTAGGTGTTTGGGGTCCTAATTCCTTCTTTGCTTTTCACTTTCTTTGTGGCATAAAGCGGCCTAGCCATCCTCCTCATGAGGATGTCCTGAGGTGCAAATCATTCATAACACTTTGGTACTTCAGAATGCTCAGCTATCTTCAGGACTGGTAAAAATGAGAGTAGCCTTAACTCTTGCATAGGTGAAAACTTGCAGAATATAAGTGTATGTGAAAATAATTTAATTTAAGGCAGAACTATTTGTAACTGACGTGAATTAGCACTTAGGTCTATAAAATACCTTGTACATGTATAAGTTCAAGTATGTGATCCTCAAAACTGTATCAGTGCATTTAGATCCATGCTTGGAGCTGTACCTCTGCATGTGACCAAAATCACCAACATGTCAGTGGATTTGGGCAACATGGGGCCTACTTCATCATTACATCTATTCATGAAACCTCAGAAAAAAATTCCTTTCTGCAAAGTTCCCAGCAATTCTCAATCTGATAAGTGTTCAGACCATGCCCAGCATGTGCTGCTGGGGGAGTTTGCACAATGCTGTGGCTATGACTGATCTTATTCAAGCTTGCAGCATGTGGCACATTTCCCTGTTAATGTGGTAAGTCAGTGATTCAGGAGAGAATGGAGGGATCTCCTGGAGGGAGACCTGGAGGGATCTCCTCTGTCCCAGAAGAGTGCCATAACCCATCAGGCTATGGGCTGAACTGAAATCTTTCTGCCACTCCTGCAGAAGCTGGGCTGTTTGACAAAAACAGAGTTCAAGATTCATTGAAATACCAGAAAAAGACAGAGGGAATATTCTTCCTAAATTCTTTCCTCACTCAAAATAATCTGCTAATTATCAATTCATAGAGTTTTCCTGTAATTTGATAGATGTTTTTGTTTTGCTGTTAAACTTTGTTAAAATTTTTGATAATCCATGGATAGGAAAAAACCAGACTGTTAAGGATGATGTACAGTTTCAGTGGGAGCATTTTGCATTATACTATTATAACAGCACTTATGCCTCTAAACGACGATTGAGATTGCATTGTTTGGATACATAATGAGATCCCGCCTCTGCCACAAGATGCTACAAGCAGTCAAGCTGCACAGAGTTTGCATGGGGAGGATAGGGAGCGTGAAGGAAGGCACAGGGGGAGGGAGGTACTGGCCCCAGGTTATGGATGCTCTGGAAGAGGCAGAAATAGAACAAATTAGATTCCTGAGACCCTGTGATTTTTCAATGTATCTTGAATCACAATCTTTTTTTTACTGTTTTCTTCTTTACAGATGTCCCAATTTAGAAAATAATATCAAAGACCCTTGCCTGTCAGTCTTATTAAATCATAAAGGGGTTTATCATGACCACAAGTGCACGAATTCACCTCACACAAAGCCAGAAAATGTTTGGTTTTTTCATTATTGACTTCATCATAACTCGACGCCTCATAAGCCACAAGAAAAGCTAGCAAGAAAAATATGTTTTACATAAGATGTCTTGATTAATCCTCACTTTCAGAATTATTTTGAAATAAACATACAATAAAGCTTTTAATCAGTACAAGTGTATTTGTCTCTGAAGGGGCTTTTCTAGTATTAACTTTATGCTGAAATCTGTTTCTGACTAATTGTCGGGATGTGCCCAATTGTTGTCCCTGATTTGATGAACTTCTTGGTTTTGCATTGTAAATCTGACCTTCCAACTTCACTTTATTGAATATAGACTGCTTTAACAGCCAGTCAACCATGCCTATTCGTTTAATAGTAATAACAATCTTTATTTTTGAGATCCATGGTCACTGAGTGATCATACCCTCAGTTCTGTTGCTAATGGCAAAAAAAATATAGAAGTATTATCTGATTTGACAAGTACATCTGCCACAAAATCTGGCCAAACATTCTTCCTTCAGGAGCAGTCTTGCTTAATTGGGTAGTCTTTTTTTTTTTCCCTTGCGTTTATATGCATTTTTCTGTTACTAGTGCTACTTGTATTACGTGATGTAATTTTGTTCATCTTTTGAATGTATAGTTTCTGTTGATGTTGAAAGGAATTTGTGTACACAGCTTAATATTTCAGGTGAGCTTGGAAATATGGCAGTCATATGGACCCTACTTCTTAAAATCACTTAGCTTATACTGAAAGCTAAGCATACATTTACATCCTGTATGAATACAAGGAATCGTTAATAGCTGTATCGCTGTGACATGGCAACATATGCCACAACATATCCCGTAACAAAAAATTTGGTTCTCAATTTTGAAAGTATCCAAAGCATTCCCTAAAATTTTTAAAATGAGAAGAAATGGGCAAGTCCAATACGTGTTTTTTACAGTGCTGTCAAAAACCAACAAAGATTCAGTAGTATGTGAAACACCACCTCTGGGCTTGCTCATTATATAAATAATGAATAGCAATAATAACTGTGTCATTTAATTGACACACCGTTAATTTTTGAGTATATGTATCTGCCCTGGAAAATGAAAAGTAGCTGCTTCTTAATTACATACTAGTTACAAGGCTATGACCCATGACTAATATAGAATGTTATCTGGCTGTCAGGAGTATTTTCAAAGAAATGTATTCAGTATGATGTGTGACCTGAGTTCAATCTTACAAACTGAACAGTAAGTGGTTCAGAACCTAGAGCATTTCCTACCAACTGAAAATACTAATTAATTTAGAAAAATCATTCTATCTGTTGATTGATCTCTGCAATAGGGATGGATGTTTTTCAAAAGAAAGATCTTTAAGTAGCATGATGTGATAAAGGATGGTTATTTAGTAATAAAACTCTTTCAGATTTGTCCTGGTTTTGGCTGGGATAGAGTTAATTTTCTTCCTAGTAGCTGGTACAGTGCTGTGTTTCTGGATTTAGTATGAGAATAATGTTGATAACACACGGATGTTTTAGTTGTTGCTAAGTAGTGCTAAGCAAGCAGCTGCGTGGTACTTAGTTGCCAGCTGGGGTTAAACCCCAATAAGATGAACTGCTGTTTGCCCTTCTTTTTAAAATCTATTTCTTTTATATGGTATTTTCTTTACTGAGTTAGCAATTACAATTCTTGAATTTAACTACAAAGGAATCTCTGTTGTCAGTATTAGAATTTGGATCATCAGATCTAGTCTGGCTTCTAAAGGTACTGCAGCTGCTCTTAGGGAGAAATACTGTTTTGCATGGTGCTGTGTCCATAGCTGGAGGGAGAAACTCATGTTTAAGTTGAATTATTTTTTTGTTTGTTTGTTTTGGACAAAGTTTTGCTCCTCGAGTCAAAGCTGTTTCTGTAACACTATAAACATTTTCTCTTTTTATTAAAAGTCACGATTGGTATTCCAAAGGAGACCTGGCTTCCCATAAAAACAAAAGGAGATTAATTAGAGAATTTTTTTTTTTTTTAATTTAGATGACTGTTCACTTAGATCATCCTCATATATCTTTTGTGAGTTCAGATTTTCCTGTTTGTATGACACTGCTTGTTTGTCTGCAGACATCTGATCCTCAAGGATCGTTGAAGGATGGCGCCAAGAGCTCTCTTCAGAAAAGCTTCAGGGTCCTTAATGAAGCCAAGACATTAGAAAATGATGTTAAAGGTAAGTGCAGTATATGGCATTCAGGCTCATTAAATACAAGAGAAACATTGTGAGACTGCTATGCTTCCAGTATGAAGAAGCCATATCAGTAGGAAAAAAGTATAATTCATTATCTGATTTTAAATTGAACAATGTATCAATGAAAAAGATTCTTCTGGTTTGGGTCCAGGCATTATGCAGGGATCCTTGTCCTATTGCCTGTTTCATGGACAGGAAGGCTGAGGAGAATGGGGCCTTGGTCTTCTCTTGCTAACTACAGTAAGGGCAAGAGTAAGTGGGGAGGAGAGGGGGATGGAAATACTGGTTCTGGTTTACTAAACGCTCCAGCAGAAAATTAGTACAAAAACTAGCCCAGCATTAAAATTTTATTTTTGTCAATACAGAAGCAGGGTTTGCAATACCAGTCAGAGATACCACATCTCTTCAGAATGCTTATGGGATTGGGCCAGAAAAGGGAAGCATGAGAAGGTAGAATGAAGATGTTTGCCAAACAGAGAGTAATGGGAGGGAATTGCTAAGAGTTTTCTTTAAAAAATGAAACTAAAACCATGTCTCTAGAGAAAAATCATTATTTTCACACACACACACAATATTTCTTTGTTCCTAAAGCATAAATACACGTCTAAATGCAGCTCAAATCATAGTTTGTAGATTCCAAACCAAATACTTTGGCTTCCCAGTGAAAAATAAAACATCTTTAATTTTTATTCAATATTTTCCACTGGGGGAAAAAAAAAAGGTTTTGAATTATGCTGTTTGGTGAGATGTGAAAGCTGGTAATTCAGGTCAGACTGCGCTTATAATGTCCTTAATATTTTCTCATCAACAAATGAGAGTATTATTGGTGAATGCCATAGTGTGAGAAGGTAGGACATTAGCCAGTATGGACACATATGAGGTGTTTCATGCATATGTGAATAATCAGTTGCAGAAATGCAGGATGAGGAGCAATTGTCTGGGTAGCACTTTCCTAGAACGAGACTAAAGAGAAGCATGGATCATGTGCTGGGTAGAAGTAGAAAAGGCAGATATCACAGAGGAATTCATGAATAGGAGCATGGCTTTCCAAAACACGTGAAACAATCCTTTCACTCTGTTCAGGGTTCCTAGTGCTTTAGCAAAGTTACTGGCTACAGTGCTGGGCACTGAACTCCATGAGGGCTGAGCTGGTTTGCAGAGAGTCCTGAAGACATCACAGAGACTAACTGGAGATCTAGCAGAGGAGAGATAAGGAGAAAGATTGAAATAATTTAAATTTTTAGACTGCAAAAGAGGCAATTGAGTAGAAGCTTAATATTGTTCAGTTGTGTCAAGATTTCTCCAAAGAAGATGGGACTAACATACCACAAATGCACTGATACAGATCACATATTAGGAAAATCTTCGTTTTAATTAAAATACAGAAGTAATGGAATTGATTACTGAGGAGATTAGGGAGATTTGACCTTTGCAAATCTTTGAAAACAACTTAGACAAACATCAATGAGGAATGGCTGTTGATCAGAAGGAGAAAAATGATCTTTGGACAACATCTGTTCTGAGCCTATGATTCAATGATCTTCTGATCATTGCAACCAAAAGCAGTTTATTTCTTGTGTCTTTATCCAGACAGATTGTTTTATAGGTCCTCTAAGAAAATACTTATTGCAGCGCTAATGAAGCATCTGTTTAACAGTACTCAACACTTCTTTCTCCACAACAGTCTTAGAAAAGGATTGAAAAAATAGTTCATTTCAACTAAACCTGAGGGGAAATAAGCATGATACAATTATCCATTTTCAAGTAGGCCAACACTGAATTTCACCCATCTGCCTTTGTGAAAAATGTTAAACGTTACTGCTTTAATTGCTTTGGTTTTGCATATAACAAAGAAAACAACTTAGGAGCAAACAGAGTTTGTGCCACTGGTATAGTACAGTCTAAGAGGAGAATCAGTTAACTGAGTCCTCCATACAACTATTTTGAAAGTCTTTCATCCAGATACTGACCAATATTTTGATTAGTGTGGACAGAATAAGTTCAAGTTGATAACTTCTTATTTCATTTAGTTTATTTCAAATTAGTGCACTGTAATCCCCTCCCTTCTGTAATTTGAAATTTTGTTATGTACATTTTGAGAAGCTTGTGTCCAGTCACTTGTGTCTAATCACTGTTTTTGAAAAAATTCTTTCATACTAGATACATTATAGTTTAATCTGATTCAATTGGCTGAAGCTATAATAAGGTTAACCTGGAATTAACCACAAGGATGGGAAAAGCATAGCACTTGTAAAATATATGTGAGAAAACAGATTTAGGACTTGGAAGAAATAAAGACAAGGAGAGGAAAACAGCTATGATACGATATTTTTTTTCTCATCATAGGATCTGAAAATCAAACTGGGTTGGGTTTTTTTTGTTTCATGCATCAGAACTAGAAAAATCACACATAGTAAATATTCAAGGTTGACATTTAAACTGCTTGTCACAGAGATGATGCCTGAAGCTTCTCCATCATGCTAAAGTAGTTAAAATACATTTTATTAGAAACAAGACAGATTTTTGTAGTAGAGCCCAGTCTTTCAGGTTTTAACATACAGAATTTTCATTGGCCTCCTGGGAGATGCATTATGAAAAACATACAGCATGAAGGGTGAGATCCATACAACTTAGAGTAATCTTTTGGCTGTTACTACACTTCCATTTAGTTTTGGCAGCTCTAGGATTTCCTACTGCAGAACCAGTTAACAAGTAAGCATAATGTTTAATAAGGTCATAAAGTATAATGTTTCATAAGGTCATTAATTACATTTCACTGTCATACACTGTTTGAAAATTAAAACCATTATTATTTTCTTGTAGCAACTCTGAGAAAAAATGTGTCTGCAGTTACTAGTAAACCTTGGATATATATTTAGGGTGTTCTTTATTGCTACTCTTTACTGCCAGATTCAGTACAGATTTAGGGCTGGAGGGCTATGTTTCAGTAAATACGTTACAGAAGATCACAAAACTACGAGGGGAGGCCAATGTGCAATTTAAGAAGCATGGCTGAAGTAGAACGAATAGAGATGCTGTTAGTGCCCCTTTCTGGAATGCAAACTGCTGCAGTTTGCCATGACTACTGTGTAGGAAACACTAAAATGCCAGCACTGCCTCTTCCCTGCCACAGTGTTCCTCTGAGCAGACTGGATGCCACAGAGTGGAGTCCGTAGCTTTGTGTGCTCCCCAGGCAATTGTAGTGGAGTACTCGTGTTCCATGTAGCACAGTGCCTTATTTTCAAGGACAAGATAAAATCGTGACTGCACTTGGATATATGTGAATTCCATGTGCCCAATTTAACCCTGAGAAAAGATGTTTTACAACCTCAATAAGACATTGCTTCAGAGATTTTTGAAAAGAAGTATGTTATTCTCCCATTTTGTGCCAGTGAGAATTTAAGTTGGTAACAGTTTCATATTTCATAAGCAAAGATCTAAACAGTCTAAAGATTCATAAAGCAGTCCAAATGCAAGCAGGGAGCAGTGCTTAAAATGCATGTATTAGATCTTTGTCTGTGTTCTTGCCCCATACTGAAGGATAATGAGATGGAGGACATGGAGCTTTCTTAATGCTCTCTAATACGTCTAAGACTTAAAGTGCTTCATATGGACAAACATTCTGAACTTTTCACCGTGTGCCTTTTTGCATCTAATAAAGCATGGCCATGCTCCACAACTTGACTCGCAGAGATCAGTTAACGTTGTGCCCAGAATGCAGATGCAGAAGAATAAAATGCAATGACAGAATTTCTTAGATTTCTTTTTTTTCCCCCATCCTGCTTTTGCTCCAAAGTTGTGATGTTATCAGTATTATGAATATAATCCCTTCTGGATGGCTTGATGTTTCCACAATAGAAAGTGAGAGCTGAGCGTAAAACTAATAGAAAGATATTTTTCTTACAATTCTTATAAAGCCACCCTGTTCAGAGTTTCAACTGGAAGTGCAGGATGGATGATGGGCACTCTATAAAGATCTGCTAGACAGAAGTAATTATTAGTTTAAAATTTCTCTGTCTGCACTACATGTAGTACATTAGTTAAAGTAATGAAGATCCGTAAGCCACTCAACTAATATACACTCCAAAAATCCAGGCTGGGCTGTGATGGAGGTGGGAGTGTTTTCTTGCTACATTATGACATTCCCCTGATTTGTGGCCAATTACCCAAGTTATAAAATGGTTGTTAATCATGGAAATGTTTTATATTACCACCAAAAACTGCTGAAACAGTCCTTACAAAGCAAAGCTTCTGACAGAAGCTATTAAAATGGAGATTTAGTCATTTCTTTCTCTGTGGGGCTAGGAGTTAGAAGGAATAACCCTGGTTGGAGAAGCAAAATCTGTATGTAGTGCTCTGGCTAAGAAGGAGTTTTGAAATTTTGGCTATAAATGAATGAATGCTGCTGCCTGCCAGCTTCATTCTCTGTGTGCCTTGAGGGATTTTCAGTTTGCCAGGAGCAATTTTTCTTCCTTATAATTTTGATTTACTGTTTTAAAAATATACTTGCACCAGTGCAGATTTGAGACTATATACAGACTTTGTCAAAACTGATCAATGAAAAGTGAAAATAAGATGTATAAACTCCTCTTTGGCTGGAGACTGCTGTCAGGTGGCTACTGAAATTCAGCTCATGTCATTTCTTTTGCTTAAGAGTTGACAACTTGAGGAGGACTTGTCTTGTCTGACAACACGTGAATATTTTTAGCTAAAACATTTTCCAGCTGATAGGCACAGCTAAATCCCTTGTTTGTGTATTCTCCTCTGCTTCATATTTTTGCTGACCTGGCATATTGCATTCACCAGATTATTGCAGTCAGTGCTGAAAGTAGTCTTTTAAAAAAGTTAACTATCATTAGCTGCTTTTCTCTAGTAACATCTCTT